TAGACTACGAGTAGTCCCTCTTTCGCTTAGTCCGTCGTGCGTGACGCGAAAGAAAACCGCGAGAAAAACATGGCCGCGCGAAATCCTGGAGGCGAAGAGCACGCGAAAGGAGGGTCCCTCCTTTCGCGCGCTCCAAGTCCCCAAGATTTCGCGCGGCCATTTTTTTGCGAATTTCTTTCGCGTCACGCACGACGGACTAAGCGAAAGAGGGACTACTCGTAGTCTAGGGTTTTTCAGCCATTTTGGTCATAAATAGGATATCGGTTTTGGCCATTTTGGTCTTAAATAGGGTATGGTTTTAACACTCTAGTCTTGAATTGGGTATGTTTCTTAGAAGAAGCTACTTTTTTATCATTGTCAATAAGACCGTCAACTAAAGCCCTTCATAACTCATGTTTAGGGCAACTGTTCCAGTCACAAAGGTCATAAATAGGGTATCAAATTTGTGGCCAAGTCATAAATAGGGTAGCAAAAATCGCAGATTTTGGTTATAAATAGGGTAAGGGTTTTGGGAAGTGGGCCGCACACCCCACCCAACTTTTCTGGGAGTACCCCCACCCCCCACCCCCCCGGGGTCTCGACTCAGAAAATGTAAAGAGTACATGTACATCAATTTTCGTGATACCCCCAGCTGGGTGTCAAGAAAACTCAAACTCAGTCTTCAAAAATTCAGACCACGAAAAATCAGACACCTCGAAAAACTCACAAAACTCATAAATGTTTTATGGTCACGCAATGTTCATAGGCAACATTGCTAGATCTTGCATAATAACAGAGGATCACAAGTTCTTCAAGTGAATACCTTTGCGCAAAGCAAGTCTGTTTGCACGTTTATGCTAATTCGTAGAGACTGTATTTAAATCAAATCTTTGCGTTATTTATTCACTTTGCCTTGAGAATGGTGTCACGATGTTCAATTTATTTCATATTATTAAAACAGCGAATTGTGGTGATTGCGTGACGAGAGTGGTTTAAATTTTTGAGATCTGTGTACATGTGTAGCCTGCAGTGCAGGCGTTATTTTAGAAGGAGAAAACTATATAACATCTAGTGAGGGTCCACTTTATGTATCAACAGAAAGTGTATTATCCAGCTGTAAACCACAATACACCTCTGTAAAACACTGTACACCCCTTAAAACAGCACTATACACCCCTATACCAGCACTATACATCCCTAGACAGCATTGTACATCCCTATGCATCCTCATACAGAACAATAGGCCCCTACACAGCACTGTACTTAAGAAATAGCAAACATGTACTGTGTTTCTATCAAGTTATAGAAACACGAGGCGAAGTTTGGGAGAACGAGAAATGCTGTGGGAACACGAGCTGTGGGCGAGTGTTTCCACAGCTTTTTTGAGTTCTCCCCAAACTTTCACGAGTGTTGCTATTTAACAATTAGATTATGAGCTTGAGATTTTTATGAGTTGATATATGATTCAGCCTTCACCCTCATCAACTACATGTATCACCTCATAGAAATCGAGAGCGAATAATCTAATTGTTTTAGTAGAATTCTAACTGAATTTTCCTTCAAATAAAGATTCCAATTATTTCTGGTCTTAGTATTAAACTTCACGCTGAAGAGAATTCGCGTGGACTGAATTGTCAATTCGACATTTACAGTCGTGTATGCGGGCTTATCAGTTTCTATAAAGACTTTCAAGCATTTTTAATTCACAAAACCATAAATGGCCTTCTTTTACTCTTCTTAGGAATTTCGTTTCATTTATTTCTAAATATTCTTGCAAAACTTCGGAGAAACATAGAAACGTTGCATTTTTTTTCGACCACACCAAGCTACTGAACACTAATGGCTGATAGTGTGCAATGGCTCAGCCAATCAGATTACAGCATTTGCATTAGTGCACTAGTAGAATTCTTCTAAAACTCGATGAAAACACGGAGAACAAGTTTTCTATTTCTTTTAGAAAACTGACTGCAACGGAAAAAGGGTAACAACTTGTTTACTTTGATCATCAAAATGTAAATTCTCTTTACTTGCGCCATCATTACGTCAACAGCTGGTGCTAGTACCGTGTTTCTATTGAGTTATAGAAACATGATTTTTAACCAGTCATTAAGTGTATTTTCTCAGGGGTGTTTTCTAAAGCCCTATAAAGTACCATACACCCCTATACACCACTGTACATTTCTATACAGCACTATACACCCCTATACAGCACTATACACCCATATACAGGACTATACACCCCTATACAGGACAATACATCGTTATACACCACTGTACACCCCTATACAGCACTATACACCCCTATAGAGCACTATACACCCCTTTAGAGCACTATACACCCATACACAGCACTATACACCCCTATACAGTACAATACACCGTTATACAGCACTATAAACCCCTATACACTCCTATGCACCCTTTTAGAGTACTAGACACCCCTACAAACCACTATACAACCCTATACAGCACTATACGCACCCAGGCGGTGTTGGACACGGTTCACGTGACAGTATTCGACCAATCATATGTCGTCTCAGCCGGAGCAATGGCATGCTTTGCGAGTCGTGTCCAACACCGCTTGATACGCACCTATACAGCACTATACACACCTATACAGCACTATACACTCCTATACAGCACTATATGCCCCTATTTAAACAATAGAGTGTTTCTGTCGAGGAACTATGGGCTGATAGTTGCCCCGCAGAAATTTGATGTTCTTAAAACAATATTTGCTGTGAAGCGAAGCTTCAAGGGCAAATACGCTAGTTTAAGAACATCAAATTTCCAAGGGGCAACTTTCAGGCCAATAGTTCTGAGACATAAACACTCTATTTTCTGTATTGTTTACCACTAAATTTTTTTTTGCACACCAGTTCGAAATATCAAATTATTTTCAACTTTTTTAGATGAAAGCCGTGAAAGCCAAATATAATATTTAAAAAGGAAAATAAACAAAACCCACTTAAAGGAGCTTAGTCACAGTTTGCGCATATTGAAAAGTTTAGCCTCAATTTTTCAAATTCGTCGTTTGTAATCCGTATTAATCTCCTCCATCATTAGCCATCCTTGTTCCCTTATAGTTTATCATTATGTCTTTGGTGTTTTTCTATCTTATTAAACTGTTATTTTCAGGTTTCCTACCATTTAAAGGTAATTTTGTACGTGACCAAAATAACTCAAAATATGGTGACTGAGCCCCTTAAATACAATTTCATTTGTTTATTTTTTATAACCTCGCTTGTTTACAGAAAATGTTTTCACGGACGAGTACTATCCATCCAGGTATTTTCTTCGGACAGGCACTATGGGCTGATAGTGTCTCTCTGCAGAGGAACACTATCGTGTCACGTGATCAATTTAAACCAACAAAAATCAGAGAAAGTTTAGCGGTGAACTATAAACAGTATTATACATCCCTATACAGCACTACACACCCCTGTACAACACTATTCACCCCTATACAGCACTATACACCCCCAATACAGTCCTCTTCAACCCTATACAGCACTATTCACCCCTTTATTATATGGCTAGCTCCGTGAGTGGACAAGATGAATAAAATCCTGCACTGTGATTGGCTACCTGAGCAGGCAAGATGGAGCTGTCTTGTCCACTTGGGACTACCCGCCGTGTCCTGCAAGAAACATTTCCCCGAAAGCCAAATAATAAATCCTTCATTGACCAAGCTTGTTTAGTCAAGATGGCTGGATANATATAATAAATCCTTTATTGACCAAGCTTGTTTAGTCAAGATGGCTGGATATTGGCCTCGTTCTTTTTTTTGCGAGTTTATGGACCTCAACTCCGTCTCAGTCCATAAACATGCAAAAAAAGAACTTGGCCAATATTCAACCATCTTGACCTCACACTTGGTCAATAACCCATACATACAGTACTATACACCCCTATACAGCACTATACACCCCTATACAGCGCTATACACCCCAATACAGCACTATACACCCCTATACAGCACTACACACCCCTATACAATACTATTCACCCCCATACAACACTGTACATCCCTACACAGCAATATACACCGTTATACAGCACTGTAAACCCCTATACAGCACTATACATCCCTATACAGCACTATACAGGACTGTGCATGCCTATACAGCAATATACACCGCTATACAGCACTATACACCACTGTACATCACTATACACCCCTATACAGCACTATATACCCCAACACAGCACTATACACTCCTATACAGAACTATACACCCCTATATAGCACTGTACAACCTTATACTGCACTACACAACCCTTATACCCCTATAGTGCTGTATAAGGATGTACTGGGATGTATAGTGCCGGTATAGGGGGTGTATAGTGCTATTTAGGAGTGTACATTGTTTTACAGAGGTTTATCATGGTGTATTGTTGAATAATACACATTGTTATACCTCCCCACTTAAATACGTTTCCGATTGGAGGAGAGCGTGTCACGTGTCGTGGGTCAAAACTCACTAACTCCCTAGGGAAACAACAACTTGAACTTTCGACTCGCCCGTGATCATGTCGTGCTCCTTGACATTGCGGTCGATTTGTGAGCCAGCCGGCTTCGCCTCGGGGAACACTGAGGGTCTCGGGGAAACAAAACTCGCTGATTCCTTTGGGGCCAGCCAATTGTGCTGATACATGAAGTGGAATGGACCCTAACTAGATGTTTTATAGTATTTTCCTAGCAAAGTACGATACTTATAAGTTAGAAGTTAAAATCTTGTTTAAAATACTTTTCAGTTGAAGTGTCATTTATGATTTGATTTTCAGCCATCATTTTGACGTGCACGCAAAGTTTGATGCCAACAACCTAGCGTACACCTCACATTCTCTCCCGTTACATGTCGACTTGCCTTACTACGATTACGTGCCCGGGGTAGGTACTCCAGTTAACTGAATACAATTTGTAGTAGCTGCAGGTCAATGTTAGAGAGAAAAGGAGACCTTCCACTAAAAAAGTTGTATTAGCCAGTTAGTTAATCAGTTGACCTAACAAAAATCAGTAGCTGTGTCGTTATTACGAGACTGTGTGAGAACCAGTTTTACAGCGGAAAAGTAAACTTTCCAAAAAGATGTTTCCTCTATTTTGTAACTCTTTTTCCTCAGTTACCAAACGTTACTAGTCTGCCTGCAATCACCGTTTTCTCTTAGACGAGCGGTTGTTCTTGGGAACGCGAACGAAAGCTTAACAGAGAGATAAAAAGAGGAAGGGTTGACACCTGTACCCTTGTTTCGTACCTTAAACCTTTGCCCCCTACTCCTCTATGATGTTCAAAAGAAAAAAAATAAGCTACAAGCAGTCTAACACGTTACCATAGCAACCAACCGCAGCTACAACACTTTTGATTGACACTTACTACGTGTAGCAACCTATATCTTGCGGTCGGGAAAAATAAAGCTTGGAGCCCTCCTTGCTTAGTATTTTACCATGATTTTTGTTTAGGTGCAAATGCTTCACTGTATCGAGCAAGCGTCCAGTGAAGGAGGTGCCAACCAGTTTGTGGATGGCTTTTACGTCGCGCAGCAGTTGAAAGAAAACGACCCAGAGACTTTCAATCTGTTGTCAACCACTCGATTTCAGTTCGTTGACCTTGGGAAGGATATGTTTGGTGAATTTAACAAGAAATTTCCCCGTCTTTTGATAGAGTAAGTTGGGTGCAAATTGTTAACGAAGATTTTAGTTTATTTTGAGCGCACAACTTTTTAAATTCGCTTTGCAATTTCACTATGTGTCTGCGAATTTGGCAGTTCCATTATTTTATAGTAAGAGCGGTCAATCAAAGTGGAAACTTTGGACTGAAAGAATATAAGTTTGGTGCGGAATTAAGCTGCAAACGTCGACGTTACGGAAATACAAGTATGTAGGAGTGATAGAGTAATGGTATAAGAAATCACCTTTAGTACCACACCAACTTAAGCTAATGCTCTGAAGTCGAGGAAAACCTTACAAAGAATAGTAAAGGTCATGAAAGATGGTTAAAATGTCAGTACTAGCCATGCTTTCTTCAGATCGAATGTAAGAAAGCCGTACACCGAATGTTAATACACCGAATGCAAATATGGCGGACTGCTCGGTTGGCGCCCGGGACGAGTCGCATGCAAGCGAGGCTAGTGAGGCTTTGATGTTTTGTTTTGACAG